CGTACGCCTGTGTGGTGGTTTATGTATCACACATAAATTAAAACGCTTCTCATCCAATCATCTGCAAATTAGCCATTCTAGATAAATAAAATTTTCTGTATCATTGTATCCAAATCATGTTTTTAACATTTCCTTAATAAATGGAAAATGGAAAATGTTTTGAAATGCTCTGTCTTCTTGCTTTTGAAAATAGTAGTCTCAATATAATTTTACCTCTCCCGAGGAATGATAGCTATTATTGTAAACATCAGTATTGAGCTGTGCTTCAAATACAGCGATAAATGTAAAGGCAGGTGTAGGTTGTGAAAGTATTAACCCCTGCAATGGAACTAAAATTTTCTTTACAGTCATTTCTTATTATTTGTTTGTCAAAGGGTGAAGTGAAGAAATTTGGGCTCCCCAGGCCCTGAATAAGATATAACATGGTGGGCTTTCTGGGAACTTGAGTCAAAGATCAGAGCAGTCTTCTGTAGAGTAAGGGTGGGAGGTGGGTGCATTTTTAGCATCTAAAAATTTCTCGTCACAAATCCTTTGATATTTGTCAATATTCAGAACATCATTTTCTGTTTCTGCATCACTAATGTCCAAGGACTGCAGACCATTTCTTATCAGTTTGCATGTATTCTTCTCTCTCATTTCTCCTGGGTTTGTCGATAGGGTCTAGAAGAGAATGCTGGCTGTTTCAAGAGCTTTTGCTGGCAAGTTTTTGCCTTGATTGTGGAACATTTTTGCTGATGTGACCAGGCCACACCTTTTTTAAGTTATCTTTAGTATTTAAATAGGCAATAGCAACAATAAAAATTTTTATGTCACATATTACTTACTAAATATTTTTTATTATTGGTTTAATCTGTATGAAATCACTTCTGAAATAATATCTTAATTTGTAGGGTAATTTAGTAAAGTAACATTATGAGATAGAAAGATATTAGAAATATTTCCAGCTTCCTTAGGATATTCTTTACAATTCTCCAGCTTTCAGCCTAATGTATGTTATGGTTCTAAACTGCTCTTTTACCTAAAGAATAAGAAGATGCTACAACCCCTCAGAGAGATACTTGTCTGTTTGAACACTAGCCTGTGATATGTTAGCATTTGCTCAGCGAACAGTCAGTACTTTCTGTATGCCAAGCACTGCATTGGACGTCAGTTGAAAGAAATAACTTTTATGAGTAATTCACGGTTTGGTAAGGAGGTCCTGTAGTAAGTGTGGTAAGAGAAGTAGAAATATGGTGATGGAACCCCAAAGAGGTCATGACTTAACATTACAGTAAGTAAATAAATGTATGATATGTCTTAAAAACTCTGGGATCATGAGTGAGTTTTTTCCAGCTTGAAAAGGTGATATTTGTGAGAGTCTATAGCATTAAAACATGTAGGAACAGTCAACCAACCTGTTTAATTCAGTGTGGTATATTCATTAACGCTTCTCAGGACACAGGCTGACAGACATCACCCAAGTAGATCCTTTTTATCAGTATTATAAAATATTAGAGTATAAGACATTCTCTGTCCAAAAAGATTCTTTACAAACTCATGCTTTATTTTTCATCCAACTCTATTTCACTTTTAATGAAATACCTTCACTTAAAACACCAGCAAGTCAACAGTAAAAAAACAAGCTAATTTTTAAATGGGCAAAAATAGGAACATACTCTTTCATGAAAGAGGGTATCCAGATGGCAAATAAGCACATGAAAATGTATTAAACATCATTAGCAATTAGGGAAATGCAAATTAAAACGACAATGGGATATTACTACACCCTGTTAGAATAGCTAAGATAAAGCGTAGTAATAAGACAATCTCAGCAAAAATGCAGACAACCTAGATGACACTGCTGGTAGGAACGTTAAAGGTACAACTGCTCTAGAAATAAGTATGGCAGTTTCTTATAGAACTAAATATGAGTTTACCTTACAACCCAACAATTGCACTCATGGGCATTTATCACAGAGAAATAAAAACTTAGGTTCACACAGAAACATTCAAATGTTCATAGCAACTTTATATGTAATAAAAACTGGAAATATTCCATTTGTACTTCAGTGAGTAAATGGTTAAACAAACTGTTGCATCAATACCACAGAACTTTACTCAGCAATAAGAAGAAACAAACTATTGATGTATGCCAACAACTTAAATGGATCTCAAGGGAATTATGCAGAGTGAAAAGAGACAATTTCAAAAAGTTATGTCCTTTATGATTCCATTTATGTAGCATTCTTAAAATGACAGAATTACAGGGATGAGGAACAGAGTAGTGATTGTCAAGAATTAAGAAGGGAGAAAAGAGAGGAAGTGACTGCTATTACAGGGTCACAGCAAAGAAGTTTTGCATCTTGTCTGTGGTGGTGATCACACAAATCTACATGTGATAAAAACTACATAGAAATATATGTATGCATAAGTGGATATAAAACTAAAGCTACATAAAAAGGTCAGTGGACTGTCAATGTCAATTTCCTATGATTTAGTTATGCAAGATGTTACACCATTGGCGGAAACTGGGTAAGAATATATGTGATGTGGCTGTGTTATTTCTTACAGTTTCATGTGAATCTATAAATATCTCAAAATTAAAAGTTAAAAAAAAAGAGAGAGAACAGAGAGACACTGAGGCCGAGTAGGATCGCATAGGCTTTTGAATCAACAAAATTGTGTTCAAATTCTGGCTCCACCACTTACCAGCTGTAGGACCATGAGCCACTTCTTTACCCTCTCTGTGCATAAGTCGTTTTTTCATTTTTATTGAGATATAATTGATATAGGTGTATAACATAATGAATAGATATATATACACACATATATAGTGAAATGAGTACCAGAGTAAGTTTAGTTAACATCCATCATCTCAATAAATAGTTACAATTTATTTTTAAAGTGAGTACAATACACTATTTTCATTCTTGAGTTGTTTTGAGGATTAACTGGCTCTGAGTAGCCAATCAACATATGACAGATCTTTAAATATTGTTATTCGGTATAAAAGCCACTGATTTACATTGGGTCATAAAAATATTCTGTCTTTTCATTTAGCACTTAAAGGGATAGGTAGTCTGACTTCTCTGCAGAGCTTTAATATTAATAAATATTCTCAATTTCATTAACTTCTGCTCATGTCTTCATTTCTTTCTACTTTCATGGGATTTACTTTATTCTTTTCCCTTCCTTAGTTGAACACTTAACTCATTTAATGTCTTCTTTTCTGATATATGCTTTTGACACTGTCGATTTTTCTTTTATGACTGTTTTAGTCAAGTCACAAATATTGGTAATGGCAACCCAGCATTTTCATAGTCATTCAGTTGTAAATATAACTGTTTGTTTTTCTTTACTCCAAGAGTTATTTGAAAATGTGTTCTTCAATTTTCAAATATATGATATGGGGGATCTTTGTGGTCTTAATAATTATTTGAAATATATTAAGCTTTTGTAGCTTAGCATGTGATCAGTTTTTATAAATGTTTCTTATGTGCTTTGGAACAGAACATGTGTTCTTTAATTGTGTGGAATTTTATCTTCATTCAATACCTTAATTTTGTCAATTTGGTTGTTCATATCTTCAATATCCTTATATATTTGATCTGGTTGGCTTATCAGTTACTGCAGTGAAAATGTTCCTCTTTGATTGTAGATGGGTCATTTTCTCCTTATAATTGTGCCAATTTTTACTTTTTCTATTTTTGACTATTTTTGGCTCTCAGTTTCAACCCCTTGCCTCCTACAGATGTAAGTTTTCATCTTTTTTGTACACAAGGCATTAAAACCCAAGCCCCTTTTTATGAAGACTGACCACTGTCCTTCACTCACTCCTTTCACTTCTCTAAGCCTCATCCTTAGTAGCTATACTGTCAGCTCATGTGCTTTACTGTGATTTTTGGTTTTCAATTCTGACTTCTGGGGATTTCCCTTGCAAATTCAGCTATGCATTTTAAAGAATGTTATATTTTCTTCAACATTTCTAGGTGTTTGGGATGTGTGCAAATAGAGAGGGATGTTGAGGTCATCTAGTCTAGCATGAAAGGCAGTTCTTACTAGGAGTACTGATCTAGTGGAGAATGGTGCCATGTTCAGCAGTTGTAGAATTCTGGATCTGTACTTTCTGAGACTTAACATCAGATGAGTTAAGTAAATACTGATGTTTGGGTACTGGATGCCCTGGTGGGATGGCAACACCTGGTGGGATGGCAACAAAGATCTGCCATATGTGTTTTTTTTGGTTCATAGCCATTTTGAACTTAAGGTACCAGAAGACTGGTCTTTAGAAGAACACCAAGATTCTTTTACATTTCAACTTCTAAATTTGAGAACATTTATAAACATGATATTAATGAATAGTATTAAAATTTTATTGTTGCTTTCATAAGACTTTTGTAAAAGTTTTATCAGTTATAAAACTGATTTAGACTTTTTCAGTTGAAGTTCTTTAAAAATGTCATAAGCATGTTTCAAATTATACCTAAACAAAATACAGTGGTGATCTAGCTATCTTGGAGCAGAGGTAGGCTGCACTAATATTGCATTCAAAATATAGAACTTAAAGAAGAAAGGTTTGTAAGTTATAACTAATACAGTTTTTCTATAAACTAGGTATGTTATTTACATATGTACTCTATTTCATGTTTTTAAACTCATGTTTAAAAACTCATGCTTTTAAATTCATGTTTTTGACACAGAATAGAATATTTCCTTTTTATAGTATTCCATGCTTTTTTAAATTTTATAAATGTACAAAACCCTTAACTGGAACCCAGCAAAAGTTCCCTTTGAAGTTTTTATTTTTGAAATTTTTTTTTCTTTGAAATTTTTTTACAAATCAGTGTTAGTTTTCCTCTTATGAACATTGTTATAATTGCACCAAGAGTAAATTCAGTCCCCAGAATGCCATGATTTGCTTTTGGAGTTTAGTTCTCTATGTCCGGAATAAGTTCTAAAATAATGACTGTTTTGTCTATAAAAAGTATGTCTATTTATAACAACTTTACATTTTCTTCTAGGTTACCTTCCGAACAAGAATCTATCACTGTAATATTAACAGCCAAGGCGTGATCTGTCTGGACATCTTAAAGGACAACTGGAGTCCAGCCCTAACCATTTCTAAAGTTCTCCTTTCCATCTGCTCACTTCTTACAGACTGCAACCCTGGTGAGAGGCTTTAAATCCAGTCTTGAATTGGATCTATTCCAGATTTAGACGTCAGATCTTAGTAAATTTTTTACTTTACTATTACCACTACCACCACTACTACTCCTATTACTATTATTCTGATTTGAAATCTCCAGTCTATAACTGCTTTCTTTTTAAATTGGGTCTTGTCATTAGTCTTTTTAAGAAGGAAAAAGCATAG